CAGATTGAACCGGATCAACTACGTCGTCGAAGTTAGTTGAGAAGTTGACATTATTTTCATCGACAAGTTTCTCATTATTTTTTACAAAGTTTAACATAGATGGATGATCACTACTCTCCTCATTTTAAAGCCCTTTCGATCCCACTTCTGATGTAGGAGGGCGTTATTAGAACAGGAGGGCCTTCATGGGAACTCATACTTTGAAAGGGATAAAGTACAGTCTATTCAATACGACACCAACTCAATCGAAACACTAGATATCACTATCACTTCGATACACAGCGATTCGTCACGAGCGCGGTGCGCGGGCGTCATCCCGAACCACACTAAGATGGCCGCCCTCGCTACCATCACAATGACGCTTCACTAGGCTAACCTCAGACAGCTAAAAGTCAACCTGACGTATGATTTTTGACGGATGCGCCGTCAAATAAATAGTTAAACAGTTGGGAATATTCCAAATAAAAAAAAAATATCTAATAATAAAAGCAAAACTATCACGGGAAATTGATAGTACACAATTTATCCAACTATACTACATGTACGTTATAATATCAATCTGTGTATTTATATAGAACAGCATAATATACAGGGTGACTGGTGAATTACTATCAATATTTAAGGAGCATACTCGGTACATGATTCTCATTCGAATTATGTAAAAAAAATAGGCACTTAATTTTTGACAAAATTTCCGTATAAATAAGTAAAGTGTTGACACGTTCCAAGTGTTCAAGTGTGGACGCGTGTTGCGGCGTGCTGATACAACACCACGTCACGACATGCGTATGTGTGAGTGTCAGTGTATACCTAATCTGTAGGGTGTTCACACGATGCGTAATTAATTACATAACTTTTGGTTAACTTTACTTAGAAGTTTATTAATATTTATGTTATATTAATTTTTATTTTGTCATATATGATCGTCAAATATCACGTCCTCAAATATTGATAGTAATTCACCAGTCACCCTGTATAATAACTGCAGTTATTCAAACAAAAGAAGTATCTGGAGACAAAGAAAAACGTCAAGTCTGTCAAATAATATAAACTCAATATTAATGAATTATAATAACTATGATATAAGCAGCGACTACGTATGTATCATATGTATGATTTTATGACATGTTCACTGTTACTGAAAAAAAGAACCAGAATCTTTTATTTAAACCCTTATTTTAATTTAAACGTCACATCGACTCGCTGCAGTCCCATCTCTAAATGCACTTTTCTGTTACATAAATAAATCAAGCGAAAGAAGCGAGCTCGATAAAATTACAAAATCTCGTCCAGACTACAGAGGTACAGTTTATTTTTGTAATTACTAATAATTGAGACAACAGACAGCAGTCAGCGGCTGAAGCAGAGGCAGGAGTTATACTTTAATGTGTTATAAATATTAAAAGGTTTATTGATGTTCTATAGTAGGGAGAAGACTTGGTTTGATTGAAACTAAAATATTTCATATAACACAGAAGTTATAGTATTTGTTTGAATTGATAAGAGTAGGTATTAATACCTATTTAGTATTAATTAATAAGTGTTTGTTTTGAGTCGCCTCGTCTGTTCCTAATTTCATTATTAATGATACACCACATTGACCCGTCACCCACAGCCCGCTGAAGACTGTCCTCGACTGTTTATTACATTTATTATTTCATGATTAACATTTCTTATTATAGTCGAGATGTGATCATTATAAAACACATGTACGTATCCAGGATTTGTTTTATTTCTACTGATTACAATTACCAAGTGAGCTGATACGTTTTACTTTGTATAAATATCCGTGGCCAACTCTTGGTTTCGTTTTTGTTATTCCTAAATTTTGCCACATTATAGCATTACAGTAGCGTACTCAATGAAATACGGAAATAAGTTTTGTTTGTAATGTGACTTGTGCAGATGTTTATTCAGAATAGATGTACTTACGTATCCTAAAACTATGAAACAAGAACCTAGCCGGTAACAACTGACAAGCAATAACATCATTTACATTCTTTGCACTTTTTTATGTCTTTCTCTTATTAGACTAATAAGAGGAGGACGGAAAAACAAATAACTTATAAGAAATAACTTATAATAATGAAATAAATCTATAAATTATTTAACTAAGTATATTGTTATAATTAATAGTCGTACAGTATTATGTGTTAGGTATCATCATTTACAGTATTCCATCTTTGTGAAGCATTTCACTCATCATTCTTTAATCACCGTCGGGTCGGTTTATTTGTTTCTCAAATATTCAGTGGAGAGTTAATAATCAAAGATGTGACGACAAGGCGATCGTTTTTATCAGTTCTTCCTCCTCAACTCAAGTTTCTTGTTTCGTTGATTGTAGTAACCTTTAAGTATCAATATCATCAACTAAGTACATATAGTTCATACTCTTTCACTATATATTAATATATATAAATACATATTAATTGAAATATGCATAGGCTCACACGATTTTGCTTAAAAATAAACAAACATCTGTAGATTTTTTTATATAAAAGTGTTACAAAGTGTTAAAAAACTTTTAATCTACCTAATTTGTTCATTTTATACAACTTGCAACATGTCAATCCTATAATTAGGATTTGTATTTAGTGAACTTACGAGTAACTCACAAAGAAAAATTAATTTTGAGTTTCAAAACTATGATAATATAAATTATTTTGTTATAATTCGATAAACACTTGAAATGTTACTTCATTATGATTACACCATTCTTACACCGTCGCGTAACAACTCTAATAATAATTGAAGTTTCTTATACTTTTCACAATAAAACGTAAATTGTTACTTTAAAACCTTGGACTCTCCAGCCTCGTAACTTGTACGACATCGTTGAGTAAACGATTCATCACTATACCTATAGCTACAATAATGATGTAGCATTATTATTATGAGAACCTTAATATTTAGAGACATAACTGCTTACATAGAGAATTAATTACATGAAACTTTTGGGATTTTAAAACCCATTCTCACCGAACTTCTGGTTGTTTAATCTAAACGAGGCAGTTACTAATGAGCACTCAAAATATAATTATCTGTTAACATATTTATTACTCACGATGAAAAATTAACAGCGTTTTATTAAATGTTACGTTAAATGACCGACTACCAAATTATTCGTTTTTGTTATAAGATGACCAAATTGAAACTGTAGCGTTTAATACGACACGTTTGTCACGATGCACCACTTTATACTTTGATCGTATATATACCTCGATACTTCACTTTTTAGCTAATGAAACCAAATTTTATATATCGTTGATTGCATAAATTTGGCACACAAAAAGCTTTCTTTTCAGATTACTAGGTGTAAACTATCAAAAACGTTTTGTTGATTGCGACTCCTTTTAAATGAAATTGTGTGTTCAAGTTATAAGTTAAAAAATGCGAGCACCCAATATTCAATGTCAATAGTGTTGCCCAAAATCGGTTTTTTGATGAAACTAGGTTTAATAGAACTTTTTCACAAAAATATCAACCACAGAATAGTGCTACAAACACGTTGTTGCGATCAGACCCTTACATTTTTCCAAGTTCATAACCCTCCCTTATTTTGTCTTTCTGAAACACAATTAAAATCCATCCATCCATGCATCCATCTATCCATCCATGAATCCATGCATCCATCCAGATGGATTAATCAATACATCCATTCATTCATCCATGAATCTTTCCATTCACTCATACGTGCATTCACCCATTCCTTTATCCATGCATCCATCCATTATGATAAGGACTATGATAGCGGTGATGATGATGTCAATCCATGAACCGTGACACTCTCTCCATCTCCCTCTCACTTTCATTCTCCTCGCCCGATCACACTTTTCGTAACGCTTTCACCAGCTTACCCCCAAGCGTGCGTAAAGAAGTTTTACTTCAAAGAACAGCCAGTAGGAGGGAGAATAAAACAAGTGATAATTTGTAATGATCTGTTTTAATACAACACTAATTAAGTATAATTTACAATGACAGTAGATACACGAGCGGGCCCCGGCTCACGGGAGGGTGTACTGTGTGAACATACTCAAACATAACGTAATAAAAATATGTATAACAAATCGTATAAATTATAAGGACGGCCGCGTCACGGGCCGCCCTCGACTATATCAAAAATAATAATAATTTCCATTGTAAAAATAAAACAAAAAAAATAATTTGTATAAGTGAATATAAAACTACAATTCCATACTTGTACATGATAAGGTGAGTTGTATCCCGGTGTGTCCCGGCGTGTCCCGGCGTGTCCCGGTGCCGCTACTTTAAATGCAGGTTCCAATAACAGTGGTCTCTATGAGCTACTCGTACTTATCGTGATATGATTTTATTTCCACCCTCATAATACTCGGACACATAGACGGCTATCGATCCTCTAGTAAATGCTTAAATATGAACTCCTATAAAAGTCTGAATCATCTAAGTATGTCTAAGACGTGTTCCCGGCTCGCGGGTCACGGGCCTACTATAAATATCGAACAATTTACATCTGAACCCCACTAATATAATATGTACAGAGACGAGACCGACACACGACCAGCTACATGGCGCGACGGATCACGTCCACAGAAAACAATTCCGTACAGCGGCCGCGACCAGTATAAGGTGAACCGTACACACTATGTATTGATATGGACCTTATAAGGTGACCGGCCGACACTAACCTAGCTTACACTAACATAGCTAACGATTACCGCTTACATACTCGGAAAACGATAAGTGTAGGAGAACGGAAATGTAAAAACAATAGTATACATACATGTAACGTTACAAACTATAATACTTTGACGTCCCCGTTAAAACCGGGCCAAGGAAAGTAACGAACGAATATTTGGTTATTCCTACATCGCTTCATCAACACTGCGTCACTCCGTCCACTGAACACATGGCGCGCTACACCCGTATATATATAATCGTATTGAATACCCTCGGCTACGTACACTACACTATATATGGATCACTTCATTGTTGCCCCCCCCCCTCCCCCCTCCCCCCCTCTACTTGTCGCTCCTCTGCTCGTTGAGCGACAGGTTCTCGGCCTCGTCGTGTCCGTGTCTGTACCGCTCGTCCCTGGAGTATTCGTCGTGAGGAGTGTTGTCACACACGCGGCTGGCGGGCTCCTTGCCGGACGTCTGGTAGTCTCCTGTTGGAACAGACACACATATATTATATATATATAGTGTACAGTCGTGACCACATGTTGCCGCGGTCCCAGCGGGTACCTTTGTTGGAGTAGTCGGAGGCGTGCAGCTCGTGTTTCAGGTTGTACAGGTTGGGCTTCACGTCCTGAGGCTCGCCCGCGCTCAGGTCCTCGGGCTTGGGCTCGTGCGAGGAGCCTCCTCCTCCTCCTCCTCCGCCGTAGCCGTTCATGAGCGGAGGACGACTCTGACTGTTGTATCGACACACATGTTAACATTCATTTACCAGACACTCTCTGGATACGAACAGTTCTGAACATGCTGCTTATGTTAATTACATTCACTACAACATTAACTAAGCTTGTAATGGTACAGGAGACTAAAGCATCACCTGTATAATATGTATAAGGTGTGTGTGTGTGTGTGTGTGTGTGTGTGTGTGTGTGTGTACCTGTAGTCGTCGTGTGATGAAGGGTACTCCTCGGTCTGCATCACGTGGTCGTCACCTGACATGTAGGACAGGTTACAATCCTCCATCATACCCTAAAATTATAATGTTTCATTGATATCAGTCTCCTGTATCAGCGGCTGTCCCAAAATTAACGGAAAATTAGAATTAACACGATTCTTTTATTAGAGATGGAAGGATGACATGAGCATTTTGCAAAAATGAGTTTGAGCTGGGTTCATGCAATTTGATTCCCGTATATTTGACGCGGCTGGTGGGACCTGACATCAAATAGCCCCATGAAGTATGTTGAACTTAAACAACGTGATCAGCTCGGATCACAGAAACAAGAGAGTACATTACGGAGAAATAAGTATGGAGGAATAGTGTGATTAATGTGTCCAGCTGATCCTATCTCCTGACAGTTGACGAAGTTCAAACTTATTCAAATTCTTGCATAAATTTTGGAACACCCTGTTTGAGAGTAATGAAATGTTGAATTTCCTTCGCTACCTGTAGATTCCTTTTCAGAGCTTCGTTGTAACTGTGAGGGCTGGTCATCATCGGTGGACTCTGGGCTCCCATGAATCTGTCGCCATTAAATATTATACTTAAGATAACAGACCAAAAATATAAATCTATCGAAATAAAAATATTAACTTATAAAATTTAATTGATTACTTGAATGTTTTCGGAACAACAGGAATTTAATGTTCCTCAAAATAATAAAAATAAAATGAAAAGTATCATACCCGGCCATCTCAGACCTCTTCACAAGTATACTATTAAAATATAAAACCGGGTGTGACTAGGGCGAGTGTGGAACTGTGAAGTGTTCAATTTGGAAGGATGGCACCAATCATATGTGACAGTATCAGGTGTGAGAGTGACCAGCTGTATGTGTGTGTATGTTAAAAAGATAAAGATATAAAAAAGATGTAAAAAGATAAAAAAGGCAAGCTCATAGAAAACTTAGATAAATATGAAAGACTAACATGCGACAAAAGTGCACAAGCGAAGCGTCAGAGTACACTCACCTCGGTCGGTGGAGGGGGGACATGCAAGATATATATATATAAAGAGAGGAGGGACGAAACATCTCCACAACGAGTACACGGGGCGCGGCGAGCCAACGACGATCCGTTACACATGCACAAGGATACTGATGAACGAGACACGCACACTACCGAGAGATGAGGCTCCGAGCAGGCTAAGCTGACGATAGGTTACTAGAGACTCGTTACAGCTACGGCAACACAACCAACACGCAGCGCCACACACTAACACTAGGACGGCGACTCGGCGCATCTAGGAGACGACATGTACAGTATACACAGAGTAATACACCGCGGACGGCCGCGACTAGGAACTAGCTAGGGAGACACGAGGTGTCCAAGCTTACACAAGACACTGTACGCGAGACACTACGGACCGAGCGTCATCGGCGGATCACGCTCGGTCCAACACATTACAAGGAGTGGCGCGAGTGGTGGCGAGTGGTGGCGAGTGGTGGCGAGTGGTGGCGGTGAGTCCTTACTGTGCGGCGGGAGGCGCCGGTTCGTACTTGCGCGGGCGGCCGCGGCTCAGATGTCGCCTCTTCACGAACTCGGCGTCGTCGACCATCCAGAACGAGCCGAAGTCGTCCTCGTACCGCACGAAACATTTGTGCAGAGACAGGTTCGTCCGGATCGCGTTCTATAATTCATTGGCTTATAAAGATCGTCGTGGAATCGTGCGGGGGCCCAAGACATCCCGGGACCTGGCGGACGGGACGGGGAGGGGGCGGGGCGGGAGGGGAGGCAGGCGGGGGAGGCAAGCGTTATATCCTCGCTCCGGAGTCCACGGACACACACACAACCAACCCTAAATACAAGACACGGTGAACGGTCACGAGGCGTGTCGCCGTACACGGAACACGACCACCGCCGGGCGCTGTGTATGTACCAACTGTATACACGTAACTGTATATAAAATATAATATGTATCGCGGACGAAGGCCGGTCGGCTGGTCGGATCGTTTACGGCGACACTTACAAATGTAAACCATCTACACAAATAATAACAAATCCAAATCTGAAAACGAGAAAACTTTATTTACACAAACAGAGTTAGGTCGGGACTAGATCGATTACATAGAAAATATTAATTAGGAAGAGATCGATCGGAACAGTGTTCGGTGTTGAGTATCGGTGTACAGTGTACAGTGTCTGTGTGACGTCACAGGCAGTCAGTGAGAGTGGGGGTGAGTTTCACTAGGAGCTGTGTGCTCGTCACTTCTGTTCTAGTGTTCTTCCTTGTTATTATTGTCACAGAGCGACATTATTAAATGTGTTTTATGTTTTGTGTACACTGGTATGTAACTTCGAGTATCAGCAAGTGTACATCTGTATGTTATATTGTATAAGAGTGGCTTGTAATATGTGAAAGTGTGTGAACATGTGTATGAGTATTTGATCGTGTATTTGGTCAGTGATTGAGTCTGTGTTTTAGTAATTTTTGTCACGTGTAGAAGTTGTGTACGAGTGTATTAAGTGTATTATGAAATTTAAAGTATACTTTGTAAGAGTAATATGTATATCAGTATGGTTGGTATTAGTTTACATCGTCACGCTACATATAGTCTTGTAGTAAGTGCATAGTGTGTATGTGTATAGCTGTACGTGTCATGATCGGTGTGTGAGTTGTAAGTGTTCTGTGTGTAGTAGTGGGGTGACATAGGTACGGAGTGCATCGGTACAAGTGATATGATGAGTGTGAGGTAGAGTGTGCGCAGTAAAAAGGTCTGTAGCGCGGGCTGGTCGGGTGGAGCAGTACCCGGTGTGTATGGCGGCGTGCGCCCGCTGCGGCCTCCTCTTGTAGAACTCCACCTCGTCCACGGTCCACACGGCGCCCTTCACGTTCTCCACCCGCATGAAGCACTTGTGGAGCGACAGGTTGTGGCGCACGGCGTTCTGTCGTTACCAGCTCTCGTTATATGCTCCGACACACACGCACACGCATACACACACACACGTACACGCACTCACACACACACACTCAATCAGTTCCCAATATTTCATTAGTCTACATATATAATAATTAATATATTGTTTACATTTAATTCTGATCTGTATATAATATCTTTAACACTACATGTATCTGTCTAGTGAGTTGTCGTCTTCATATATATACATATGATGCTCCCCGTTGTTATCTAGTCGGTTCTCTAACTACGTATTACCTTGTAACTCTGCAGCGATGTACAATATTTGATCAAACTTTATTAATATCCAAGGGCACAGTGTTATATAATTCCTGTTATCTCGTGACATCTGTCTGTCTGTCAGTGTGTGTGACGTCATGGTGGTGGGGGGAGGAGGGGTGTGTCTCACCTTCCAGGTGGCCGCGTTCCGTCTGAAGTAGCAGAAGGTGGACTGGAACCAATTGTAGATCTCGTTGAGTGTCAGCTGCTTGTCAGGAGACTCGATGATAGCCTGAAAAGATACACAAGTGTCGTGATACTATATTATACTGTGGATAATCTGTGTCAGTGTGTCAGAGTGCGGAGACACTTGTTCAGGTTTGGAAAACATTTCAATACAAAATGTCCCTACTCCAGTCTCCTGCTGTAAACATGATAGAACCCGCGGTGACCAGTACATAATACTACTGTGAACAACGCACTCACTCACTATTTGTAAATCTTTCATAAATAGATGATCTTCTACCCTATCATGTATCTGATCATCTATACAAGAGTTGTCCAACCCAAAGTTAGAATATAGGTTAGTCAATATGATATTTATGAAATAAAATTTATGGAGATAATATTATAATTTAATTCTTTTGGAATCTCAAATAAATTGATGGGCAATTAGTTTTCTTCCAGTAACAAGTTTTTTTTTATCTATTTTAGATGGTCACAATAAAATTGAAATTTTTCGGCTTGTGTCAGTTTACATCTGGAAAGACTTTACAATTACAGAGAAAAAGAAAAATAAAGGCAGCGATATTTTGAAGTAGTTAACAAAACTATTACAAAGTATAGAGGATTCAGTAAACGTTGTTATATTGTGACTGATGGCACACATACTATGACAGATACATTATTGGCTGGATATATAAAACGAAATGACTTTTTTTGTCCGTTATTCCACTGCTTTGTTCACTAACAAACTCTATGTAGAACATGTTTTTTCGACAAATGTATACTATGAATGTTGTTGTTAGTATAACTAATGTATTTAGTAATTGTTACAGTCTCTATATTCTATCAGTTCCGTCTGTCCGTGCATGCCTCACCTGTCGTATGAGGCTCGCGTACGTGAAGGGCGGCCGCACGTCAGCCGTCTTGTAGAACTCCCTGTTCCTCTGTATCTCTGAAACACACACCATCTGTATGTAGCTCAAGTTATAACACACCACCTCTCCTCTCTATATCTCACTGTACCTTGTTGAACGTCTAATCCGGCTCTTTCGAGCATGTACGGAAGACCTTGGACAGAAATTCATTTGTACATAATGTATGTGAAGGTGTATAGTATAGTTTGTTTCATATTAGTATAATATATTTACCTCCAGCGATGGCCACTCCGGACTTGTCAGACACGCGGCGCCGCACGGGCCCGGGGGACGCGCCCTCACTGGGGGGACCTGCACGAACAGACATACTGATGACACACGTTACTATATACATATACAAATATATAAGAAATGACAGAAGACGGTGAGAAATATACAGAAAAAAATTACTTTGAGGACGAGCTGCATGACACCAATGAGAAATAGAACGCAGAGATTATTAAGAAGATATATTTTATAAAATTTTAAGCTCTTTGGAAGAATCAACATACAGTCATAGGGAATGTTGGAGACATTGTAAAAGTTAAACAGGAGAGTGATCACACTTCATGATACACGGTGATGATACGAAGGACTTTAAACTGAATGATGAAACATATTGTGTGGTTACTGACTGCAGAAATCTTTATACAGCTCACACGTATAGTATGAGAGGTGTTCAATGACATAAAGTCCCGTGTAGTCGGTTGTTCGTGTTTTCGTAGTATATCTTCATATATATAAAATTCTTCTGTGAGTGTGTATGTCACTGAACTTCTCTCAAACGACTGGAACGATTTTGATGAAATTTATTATGTGTGTTCAAGGGGATCTGGGAATGGTTTAGTTTACAATTTTGTCCACTGGACAATGTTTTTTAATCAATTAGATTTGATAACTAACTAAACGTAACAGATATTTCTTGATTATAGAGCGATACGAAGTTCGCCGGGTCTTTTAGTATATACAGGGTGACTGGTGAATTACTATCGATATTTGAGGACGTGATATTTGACGATCATATATGACAAAATAAAAATTAATATAACATAAATATTAATAAACTTCTAAGTAAAGTTAACCAAAAGTTATGTAATTAATTACGCATCGTGTGAACACCCTACAGATTAGGTATACACACACGCGTGCGGCGGCGTGGTGTTGTATCAGCACGCCGCCGCACGCGTCCACACTTGGAACACTTAGAACGCGTCCACACTTTATTTATTTATACGGAAATTTGGTCAAAAATTAAGTGCCTATTTTTTTTACATAATTCGATTGAGAATCATGTACCGATTATTCTCCTTAAATATTGATAGTAATTCACCAGTCACCCTGTATATATGTATATGTAGTGTGTGTGCGTACCGTGCATCTTGTTGTGGTTGTCGCGCGCGGCGTGCAGGTGCCTCATCATGGCGGCCAGGCGGTCCCGCTCCCTCCTCAGCTGCAGCTCCAGCTGCGCCACCACCTGCATCTGCACCCGCGCCTGCGCCGCCGACCGGTCGTCCAGCGTGTGCGCCGCCTCCAGGTGTCTACACACATACGACACACGTGTTATATAATGACGTCACTATGTATATATATATATGTATCATTAGGAGCAGGCGTTACTTGAGGAAGGCCTGGAAGTCCTCGGCCAGCGCGTCACAGCCCGGCCACTTGCACACCCCGCGACCGAACAGAGGGTGCTCCTCCAGCTCGCTGCCCCACAGCATCAGACCTGCACACGCGTGACGTCACATACATGAGGAGAGAAAGAGATAGAGAGAGAGACAGAGATAGAGAGATGAAGATGACATGGCTTGTAAGTGCATTTAGTTATGAATTGTTATATACATATGATGTTACCTGGAGGAGCGTTAGGCGGGACGGACATGGGCGCGTGCATGAGATACTGACGCTGGACCGCCTGCAGCTGCTGGACCAGCTGCTGCTGCTGGAGACCTGGAACACGAGGCGGCTCATGAAGAATAAGGAACAAACACTAGGACGATATTCATATATTTTTTTTAATTCAATTTGTTTTTTTTTTTAATTTTTGGTGTATTGACTTTAAGTGGAAACTTTATTGATTTATGTTTTTTGTTATTTTTATATAACAGTGTTTCTAAAATGTTTGTTTCCCAAATAAAATAAAAATAAAATAAAATAAAACAGGGAAATTTGTAAACAAGGATAAAGTTGATGCACAAAAACAGCAACTGATAGTGACGTCACGTATAATGTTACTACTGTGTTGGTGACTGGTGTAGTGTGTTTGTGTGTGTGTGTGATACTGACTGGGAGAGGTCTCCGGCGGCTGGAGGTGAGACTGGGAGAGGAGGTTCAGGTTGATCTGGTCCTGCAGCCGGGACTGCTTCAACTGACGCTTGGCCGCCTCCGACGACATGTGCTGAGGGAACACACGGACATACATACTACACGTGATACAACGAACACGAGACACGGACAGCACACAGTGTATGAGTGAAGTCTATAATGAATTCATAAATGAATAATAGAAAGTATACACAAAAACCTGTAAGAGAGATATTGAGCAGTTAAAAAGTAAAGTCACTAGTTGTAAGTATAGTTCATATATGATACAGTTCTATCGTAGTGCACCTGTTTCTGCAGGTGGTGCTGGTGGAACAGTCTCTGCTTCATGAGCGCCTGCAGCTGCGAGTGCTGGTCGAGGAGCTGCATGGCCAGCAGGTCGGGGGCCAGCAGCGGCGAGCGGGCGGGGGAGGGGGGCGACGGGGATGACGTCACCAGCGGGGACGACGGCGCGGACGCCTGAAACATACTCATTGAACAGTACTGATGGATGAAGGAAGGTTCTGGATACAGTTGAGAGAGTGGCGAGCGTACCCTGGCGAGGGATAGAGGTTCATTCCCGGGCGGGGGCGAGCGGCGCGGGGAGCTGCGCCGGCGACGACGAGCCGCCTCGCCCCAACGACCGGACTCCTCCCTGAAGAAAACAACACACGTGGAATATAAACACTTACTGACCATCAACATCGACATATAATGTGTGTGTATGTATGTACCTATCCAAACAGCGGTCCAGCTCGAATGAGTTGAGAGGCGGCGGCTTGGCTGCGCCCCCCGGACTTGAGTTCAGTGCCGGCTCCGGACCCTGACACACAAACAAACACACACGTTCATTATACATACGTCCTTATATGTAACAATGTTTGACTTTTGGGAATGTCAAGTCATTTCACGACAGCTCAATTGTTAAAAGCTTCTAAAAATCTATATGTCAGCAGTCACAGGTTCGCATCCCGTTCGTGTCGTTGTATGTATCATTCTATATTATCATTCAGTATCGAAGTCACTACAGTTGTTTGTAATACATTTCTCTCTAATAGAACAATATAAAGAATGTTTTTTAAACTAAGTTATGTCCTAATTATAATCAAGCTGGCAGCCAATGAACGCGAACTAATACTATAACACAAAATATTATTATTTAACGGAGACTATTCAAACATTTTTCTATGTGTCTAAACAGTTTTCATTTCTATTTGTATATAGTTAATTTGTCGTTGATAGTTGACGACATGCATACCGATACAATGATTAGACCAGTGCCGATAGCTTTTGAAACATAATTAAATTATACTAGAGTGAAACTCATTAGAAAAGGAGGGGATAATATAAAAATTAAAGGAAAAATTATTAACGGGCGATCTGAGGTCGGGAAGGGTACGGGGATGGGTATTTAAGGGTACAAATGGGTTTACTCGATTTCTGGCAAAACTAAAAGTCCTACAGAAAAAAATTATATGGCAAAGTTGTAGGTAATAAAAAGATCTAAAACTTTTGTATTAACATTTTTTACATAACCTTAAATTTTATGTGAAAAATTCGAAAAACCAAGTTTTTGGTTTTTTATTTTTATCTCTTCCAAAAAACAATTTTTTGTCACGAAATTTGGTGAAAACTTTCCTTTTGATGTTCCAAATGCACAGTAATTTATTTGATATGAAATATTTATTTTTTCAGCTTATTTTCAATAAATACTAAAAATCAGCCTCATTTTCAATCGAAAAATCACCCGTCAAAATATCAGCTTTTTTAAAAAAATTGGTGTTTTCTGTTCGTTGAAATCTCTATGTTTCGATGGAGAAGAAAAAAATATAAGTTTTTACTTGCAATAACAATTTTGTATAAAATAATCATGTCCTTTTTAATGAAATGACACTTGATATCGTTTGGAAAATGCTCTTTCAATTTATTGTTAATAGTTTTAGCCGCTTAATGTCAATTTTCTCTAAATTACCTGGGAGAGGGACTATCTGGAGAACTTCAAGAGTACACAACTATTAAAAATAAATTGAAAGAGCATTTTCAGAACGATGTCTAGTGTCATTTCATTAAAAGGGACATGATTATTTTATCCAAAAATGGTACTGTAAGTAAGAAACTTATATTTTTTTCTTCACCATCGGAAAAAACAGATTTCAATGAACAGGAAACTCACACTTTTAAAAAAAAAAAGCTGATATTTTGACGGGTAATTTTTCGATTGAAAATGAGGCTGATTTTTTGATGTTTATTCAAAATAAGCTGAAAAAATAAATATTTCTTATCAAATAAATTACAGTGCATTTGGAACATCAAAAGGAAAGTATTCACCAAATTTCGTGACAAAAAATTGTTTTTTGGAAGAGATAAAAATAAAAAAACAAAAACTTGGTTTTTCGAATTTTTCACATAAAATTTTACGGTTATGTGAAAAAAATATTACCACAAAAGTTTTAGATCTTTGTATTACCTACAACTTTGACATATAATTTTTTTCTGTAGGACTTTTAGTTTTGTCGGAAATCGAGAAAACCCATTTTTTACCCTTAAATACCTATCCCCGTACCCTTCCCGACCTTTAATTTTTATAATATTCCCCTTCTTTCCTAACGGGTTTCATTCTACTTTAATTTATTTTTATTTTTCATTGTTTTTCAAGGCATCTGCACTGGCCTAGATGTCCTAAAGCACACAAAACATTCATAATATATTGTCGCACTAACTGTTAAGTTTCTCTTCAATTAATTATTATCTTACATTAATGAATAAGTTACGGATGAGAAACATCTTGGATAAATGACTCGAACCTTATTATAAGAAATTAATAATATGAAATGAGCTATAAAAAGATAAAAGACAACATCATAATGTTGTAATATTAAAGTTCAACCCTTCTTTACAGATTGCTACAAGACTATTCATATTATACTAAGGTAACTTAAGTAATCTCTCAATAAATCACGCTTGCTTAAGTTTCTGGTATTCTTTAAAATAATTACTCTGACTCTTATTATGTTTACTAGTAAATTGTATTGTCTATTTGTAATTTCAAATGAATAACTTCTGCACTAAACGTATATGAAACTTTTAACATTAAGTATTGCATATCTGTCTGTCTGTATGTTATGGATAAGTTCAAAAACGACTGAATAAATTTTATAAGAAATTCATTTGCCTGCTGGTAATATCACAAGGGGAATAGAAATCGACTGTGTTTGGTACTTTACGGCTCCTTGAATTAAACTTTGAATATTTAATTATTATTGTTTTAATCAAAACAGCATAGATCTGAGATATGTTCCGTGTCATAATCCTAACATTCTAAGTCAGGATCTGATGGAGTGTTGAATCTGTATGAAGAAGAATATCTCAAAGGGTTTAAAATGCGAGCAAAGCTGCCGAAAACAGCTAGTATATAATTAACAGAGTGTAATTATATTCTATATATTATTATAGTCGTTCACCGTAGCGAGCCTCCAGCGACCCAGCGTGTAACACAAACAACATGTAATATAACATGTCGGTTATGATTTGTAAACAGAACCAGAGGTGAGGTTCCTCAAATAATATTTATAATATTTACTTAGACTTAACGGTCTACGTTCATAGGAGCCGCGCGCCGACATATATATGATAGACTCTTCATATATATACTATGTCGGTAGGTTCATTAATCGTTTAATGAGCCCGCGTCATACACCCTTATTCTTCGTCTGTTATCGTTCTTGTCATCTGATCCTCCTTAGAGTTGGCTTTCCTCCAACTTCTGTTCTATTTGTCTCCTTGATCTCATCAATAAATTAATTTAAGTTCCAATACTCTCTCCTTTTCAATCCTTCTAATATTTCCACTGGTATTTATGTATGTATATGTCTGTCTTCAACCTGATGTAGTATTATGAGGTCACAGGTCAGCGTTATTCTGTAAACAGCCCCCCCTCCCCCCTCCTCTCAACTATTGTTTAATATTTTTATAAGGCGACACGTTTCATTAGTGGTGACGTCATCTAAAAACATCTCTCACCGTACGTACATAATTAATTATATAAGAATAAGACGAATGAGATTCAAACAGTCTAAACATTTACCTTGTTATAATTTCCCTCTCTTACTATAGTGTAACAAACATATATGCAGAATCCGCAATACACTTACAATCTCATGTTCCTCTAATCATCATTATTATCATTATACATCTGAGCCCACCGCTGAGCAAAGGCTTCTCACATGGAGAAGGTTTGAGTATTAATCATAACGCTTGCTCAAGACGGGTTGGTGATTTCAAACTTATAATTTGTAATTATAAGTCCAGGTTTCCTCACGATGTTTTCATTCACCGTCTATCAGTTATCAGGTCTAAATACTCTTAGGAAGTACTTATGACTCGGAAAAATCACATTGGTAATGCCTCATACACGAGAGGATTGCCTTTAACCTCTAGGCCACCATGACCTTTTTTCTCTAATGTTTTTGTCAAATATTATTATATAATGTTATATTTTTATATAAAGTCATCAATGTACTAAGATGCATGTAAATTAAAGAAGCGCCGAATATGTTTAAACGAAAAAGATTATCAGTCGAATTATTCGGTTAATTTCGGCCTTGGCGTGACGTGGTAACGAGATGTAATAATAAGTTTTATATGTGTTAACTACTTCTGAAGTAATAACGGTCTCCGTCACGGTACGCTTCATATACTATCAGAACAAAACTTCTTGAAAACCTATCTGAGCTTCAGTGACGAAATTAGAAACGAACCTACTACCTTTTAGATAATAAGAGTCACCAGTTCCGATCTACATTGATATCTGAACTACTACCTCATATAGAATACTTCTAAAACATTTAAGTAAACCGAACGATAAAAAAATGCTCCTTAATGTTAATGAAATAATATAAAAAGAAATGAAACATGAACAACTGTGGTATTGCGAATAAAAATGTTCAAGAATACGAACACTACACTGGACATATTGTTATATAGCAGATTCCCGACTGTATGTAACGATCTTGTGTATAGAAGAAAATAGTAATCAATAGAGATAAGGTTTTAAGACAATATATAACAGGGAATTAGCACTGCAGTGATGGTAAGGATGAGTAAGACTATCAAACATTAAAACATGACACACAAGTATGAACTGGAGACACTCCTAGTGATAGTGATACTCATCTAGAATTTTGGAATTGGTATGAAGAGTTAGGTCTATCAACCAGTACTGTAGAGGGGTGTGTTACGATAGAAACGAAATAGATTAATAATTACGAATAATATTAGAATGAATACTTATTAAAGACTCACCTTTTAGATTCATAAACGACCTGACACCGTGAAAAATATAAACTCCGGATTATCTTTGTCTGAATCGTATTATTGTTTTCAACGATTTCTGCGTGTTTTGAAAGATTATTCGCCGAAGAAAAAATACAAAAAATAGTACGACACCTCACACAGTTCGCAAGACTCCTGTTTTGTTTCATCACAATTGTTAACTTTTAAATTTGAAATATTAAGTATATTTAAATGTATAATTATAATACATCATTTCCGTGTGTTTATAACAAAAAACTGTAAAAATGTTGATCTTTATACTAGCACTGTATATAAGATAGTGTTTGTTTCATGACTAAATGTTCCGCTTCTATGACGCGCCGCCCAGACAACAAGATGCATTATAAAGTCATAGTATTCATATATTCACTAATTATGTTAGATAAACTAACTGAATTATCAGAATAATAGGAACATAAAAATGTACCGGAGACATTACGATTAACGAATATTTAGACAGTCATTCATCGAATCTCTCTTATTTATTATATCACTACATATATACTTCAGGTAAGTAAGGTAAATCGTGGTGTCCTAGTGGTTAAAGGCCCGTCTTTAAACGCGGAAGCGGGTTCGAAACCTGGCAAGTACCAATGTGATTTTCCAAGTTATATGTACATACTTTCTAAGAGTATTTAGTCATCACTGACATACGTTAAAGGAGAAACATCGAGAGGAAATTAGGCCAGTGTAGATGCCTTTAAAAATAATGAAAAGTGAAAATAAATTATAGTAGAATGAAACTTATTAGAAAAGGAGGATAATATTATACAAATTAAAGGAAAAATAATTTACGGGCTATCTGAGGTCGGGAAAGGTATGGGGATGGGTACATAAGGTTAAAAAATGGGTTTTTCTTGATTTCCTACAAAACTAAAAGTCCTACGGAAAAAAAATATACGGAAAAGTTGTAGGTTAATAGTAAATAGTTTAAGCAGCTTAATTTAAATTTTCTGTAATTTTTCTAAAAGAAAGACTATCTGTAGAACTTCCAGAGGTCACAACTATTAAAAATAAATTAGAAGGAGTATTTTCCAAACGATATCGAGTGTCATTTGATTAAAAGGGACATGATTGTTTTATCCAAAAATGGTACTGCAAGTAAGAAACTTATATTTTTTTCTTCACCACCAGAAAATAGACATTTCAACGAATAGAAAATACACCAAATTTTTGAAAAAAACTGATATTTTGATGGGTGATTTTTCGATTGAATATAAGGCTGATTTTTCGGTATTTACTCAAAATAAGCTGAAAAAATAAACATTTCTTGTCAAATAAACTACAGTGCATTTGGAACATCAAAAGGAACGTTTTCACCAAATTTTGTGACGAAAAATTGTTTTTTGGAAGAGATAAAAATAAAAAACTAAAAACTTGGTTTTTCGAATTTATCACATAAAATTTGAGGTTATATGAAAAAATGTTAGTACAAAAGTTTTAGATCTTTTTATTACCTACAAGTTTTCCGTAAAATTTTTTTCCGTAGGACTTTTAGTTTTGTAGGAAATCGAGAAAACCCATTTTTTACCCTTAATTACCCATCCCCATACCCTTCCCGACCTCAGATCTCCCGTAAATTATTTTTCCTTTAATTTTTATAATATTATTCTCCTTTTTTAATTAGTTTCATTCTACTATAATTTAATTATGTTTTTAAAACTATCGGCACTGGTCTAAATATGAACTTATAATTTCAAATTATAAGTTTGAAATCACCAACCTTTCTTGAGCAAGCGTGGTGATTGATGCTCAAATCTTCTTCATGATGATATATACTTTATATTCCCAGTTTATCATTCTTAAATTTCCGCATATTATACTATTAACGTGAGTCAAATGAGATACGTGTAACGCTCCGTATGTAGTGTGAGGAGGCAGACATGTACTAAGCATTCACTTTGAAACATTTCTATGTATGTTCTTGTATTTAGTTGACAGAGAGCGCGTTGAACTCTCGATTCCTACATGTTTATATAGAGAAAAACACAACTAAATTATTTGATAACTATAAGATCTATATAATCAGTACTGATATATAAAATAATTAATGTTTAATATAACTGTTTTAAGTAGTGTCTGTGAATTATAAGTTCAAATGACGTCTTCAAGTCCGTCACATCAATGTCTGTTCTGTACAAGATCGACGCTGTAATTATTGAAGTATAATAAGAATTTTTGATGCAAGAACATGTAATTCCGACTAAAATTCAAATAACTGTATGTAAAGTTATTGCTTATGAATGATATTCATATATAAACACACATAAGCTGACATAAGCTCACTATACTTACTATACTCTAAGTCGTAGTTGGAATCATTCATTGTTATATTTTAATGAAACTAACACTTTCAGGATATACTACGCGGTTTATTTTTGTAAAAAACTACAAACTCCCGATGTTTCGGCTACTTTATAGCAACCGTGATCACTGACAGACGAGATGTGAATGTCTGTCAGTTGGTCTTGTTATTTATCATCTACCGTCATCGATTTGTTAATTTTCTTTTCCATTAGGAAAATTAGTTGCACAAAAATTATTTTGTACCGCTCTGGATGCCGGCAGAATGCGCTCACGGTGTCTCGAGGACCTGCGGTGTGGTCACGGACATGCGATTTTATATTTTTAAGAAGAGGATCCCAGGTGTTTGATAGGTTCCGGCTATCTTCTCTATTGAAATTGGGGTGTTTTTATATAAATAACCTATATCGTATTTTCTATATAACATAGTATATAGGTCACGGCTGTAGACGTAATGCCTCTCAAACGCTTGGTAATAAAAAAGAAAATAGATTGCACCAGACCACGAGGAAGGACGCAAATGATATGGACTGACCAGGTCAGATTAGGTGGTGGTGGTAGTTTTAGGTGGTAGAGCCTAGCTGTGGTCAGTTACTACTGCTCAAACATGGGCTGGAAGTACCACCCTCTCACAGAAGATCAGCGTAAAGCAGCCCTTTGCTGGCTGCGTTTCGTCCTATGAATGAGAGAGCCGGTTGCCATTTCCCTATTTCCCACCCTATCCTACCATTTCCTCATTCCCACCCCTCCCTATTCCTAAAAAAACAAGGTTGGCAACGTATTTGCAACAAACATGTTGCTTATGTCGATGGGCGATGGTACTACCTTACATCAAGTAGGCCGTCCGCTCGTGTGCCACCTTTCACATAAAAAAAGAGTAACTGCGGACGTCTCTTGCAAAAATGTACCATAAAGACAGAAATAAGGGAAATTGGCGGCGGCTTGTGAGGCGGGTCACTGATACGACGATGAAAAATGAGAAATATAAAATATATATGTGATTAAATAAATTGATTGATTGATAACATTAATGAATATAATCCACAGCACCCTTACTACAAGCTCACATCGATACTACACACGGAGCGTTAACAGTTTCCAGTTCATGAAACGGAAACCGCATCGTGTGTAGGGTGACGATACTAACTATTGTTGAGACTACCACTTCCTAGGTAGTTTCTTTTAACATGTTCCCTTACGATACATAATGAAACAAGTGCTTGAGATAAACATACATACATAATGTCTGTACTTATAATAATTAGATTAATATTAGCACATTCATTTACTATATTGTAAGGAATTTCGTGAGTTGCTGACAAGTGACAACACATGGTGTGCACTTGAGTAGCGACGGTCTGGCGCCGTTCGTCGCGGGTGCCACATGGTGTGATCGAGGTAGGCGTCACCATGGTGCCACTCAATGCTAGCTGCTAGCTAAACAGAGAACCAGGCTCACCTCTCGGCGGGCTCTCGTAGTGTACGGACGTTTAGTGATAATCAGTGTTGGCCGTTGTTGGGTCACGTAAGCCATTTTGTTTTTGTTAATTGTGTTAATTCATTTAGTTATTGAAGTTCGCAGTATTTGTATTAGGTAGAACTTTTTGTTTAATTGTAAATTGTAATTAAATAGACTGATTTCACGTTGATTTGTTTCTTTTAAATAAAGTTCCACTTTTAAAACTAAAATCAGAAGTGGGATAAAGGACTCGTAAGCCCACATAAATATAATTAGAAAAATAGTTAACTTTTAAATTCTGTTTTGTTTACAAGTACTGCTTACTTTATTTCTTTGATACTTTCGGCATTTAATTGTTGTCTTTAACTGTGCTAATGAGGCACACGAGGACGCCTAGTCCACGGAGGAGCCATTCTAAGGGAGGCTCGCGTAATCGTGATCGAAGTACTTTTCGTACGTCTCGCGATGATAGATCGAACCGTGACTCGAGTGATAGGCGTTGTACATCGCAAAATGGCTTGCGTGTCCGAGATCGACATGATTCTCGCAATACTGAAGTGCATCGGGCGCATACTCGGATTAGGCGCGAATTACGTAGTAAGGATCGCTCTCGTGGTACTCACCGAATCGGATCGCGGTCACAACCCGGTACTGTGTCTCCTGGCGAGGAGCGTCCTGTCAATAATACCGATACCTTGCCGCCAGTCGTCGCTTCTATTTCCGATAATATCGCGCCGCGGCAGCAGTCCTTAGAGTCTAGCAACCTTCGCTCAGAGGCACCTACTCTCGCTACTGCTTTGATACAAGCAATTAAAACGATTCAACCCTCGCGATCGCAACATTATTACATTTCAAATTTCGACCCATCAATTAATAACATTGAATCATGGTGCGAGGAGGTGGATCGTGCTAGAGAAGTTAACGGTTGGGGAGACCACGAATGTTTATCTCGTGTCGCGACATGTCTTAAGGGAGATGCTAAGGTTTGGTTAGGCGAATGGGTGTCGAATGACCGAACTTGGTCTAACTTTAAGCGCGAATTCAAACCTCTCTGTCCTGGTAAATTAGACTTTGCCAACATCTTGTTTGAAGCAATGAATACAACTTCCGATAAATATTTAAGTTATGCTGAATACGCTCGTCGTACCTTATTACGTTTGAAAATAGTTCAGGGATTAAGCGACGACTTAAGAACACTTATTGTAATACGCGGTATAGATAACGCTCATGTGCGCGCCGCTGCCGCTAACGCCAGCCTGGCCCCTGACACGATCGTCTCGTTTCTATCTATTTATAATAAGCCCTCGGCACCACTACAAACAACTACAGTGGTCGGAGACTCTGTGGAAACTACAACTGGTGTTGAATATCACTAGACAGAAGACAAACCAAACGTCTCCTTTAAATCTCCTGATAGGCACTGAATATATTACTCCAGTAGTTCGAACACTAGTACGTGATGTGGCTATCGAGGGATCAGCACCTAACCAAGAAGACCTACGAGAGATCACCAGAAGTAGAGCTGCTCCTCTTCCGTGAACTCCTCAGTAACAACCGAGCCAAACAAGATGAACGAGTTAATCAGAGGCGAAGCGCACCATCCCAATGGTCCACATGTTGGTAAGCCTCGGCACGTTCGAATACGGTCTGCGTGCCGGGAAGCTTCACACGTTAGATTACGGTCTGCGTGTGGAATGTGCTCGTATGTTTGAATACGTTCTTCATACGAGTCGGTCTGTTTAGCTGACCACGTTATAGAATACCTCAACGTGTGGTACTATGGTCCACATGTTGGGAAGCTTCACACGTTAGATTACGGTCTGCGTGTGGAATGTGCTCGTATGTTTGAATACGTTCTTCATACGAGTCGGTCTGTTTAGCTGACCATGTTATAGAATGCCTCACTTGTTCGAGCTAATCTGCAAGTTGAGATGCCTCAACGTGTGGTACTAGGGCCCACATGTTGGGAAGCCTCGGCACGTTTGAATACGGTCTGCGTGCCGGGAAGCTTCACACGTTCGATTCCGGTCTGCGTGTGGAATGTACTCGTATGTTTGAATACGTTCTTCATACGAGTCGGTCTGTTTAGCTGACCATGTTATCCACATCCACTGGTGAAGAAATAAGGAAATCGACTGGAGAGACCGAAGCACTCAGCAAACCATTGGAAAAATAAGAAAAACATGTCTTATTTTGTTTTATTGAGAACGGTTTATGAGTGTTACATGTGTGAGAATTGTGAGAAAGAATGATGAATGAATTGACTGAACGGAGACAGACTGCGTGGTCAGCAAGGTTGAATGTTTCCATCTTGTTTCTCTGAATGCTTACTAATGAATGTTTTGTATTTTTCTTAGACGAAACTAATGTTGACGAACTGAATGATGACGAGGAAACTACACACGCAGACAGAACTAATCCCACAGCTGCTCTATCCATGCCCTTACCGGACGATGTGGCCGAAACCAACTCACCAACCTCTCTTGTGGCGGGTTCTAGCGGAGTTTCTCATGAAATTTGTGCCGAGGACGACTCAACGTCAGGAGAGGCCGTGTAAGGAATTTCGTGAGTTGCTGACAAGTGACAACACATGGTGTGCACTTGAGTAGCGACGGTCTGGCGCCGTTCGTCGCGGGTGCCACATGGTGTGATCGAGGTAGGCGTCACCATGGTGCCACTCAATGCTAGCTGCTAGCTAAACAGAGAACCAGGCTCACCTCTCGGCGGGCTCTCGTAGTGTACGGACGTTTAGTGATAATCAGTGTTGGCCGTTGTTGGGTCACGTAAGCCATTTTGTTTTTGTTAATTGTGTTAATTCATTTAGTTATTGAAGTTCGCAGTATTTGTATTAGGTAGAACTTTTTGTTTAATTGTAAATTGTAATTAAATAGACTGATTTCACGTTGATTTGTTTCTTTTAAATAAAGTTCCACTTTTAAAACTAAAAATATATTATATATTAAATATATTATTATACAAGCCAAGTATGCAAAATATTTCTTTGTAGTTATATGTCTTATCTGATGTAAGAGATTTTTTTCGTTTTATTGTTGATTTTACAGTAACCTTCAACGTGTTCGTGTATATTGTATGTAATATTCAATATATTGATGGTATGTGTTGTGTTGTGTGTGTTTGTGTGTCCGTCACGTGCCGCGTGTGTCTGTACGTGTTCCCCGGTACCTCTGTACACGGAAGTAATACGGTCGACTTGTTTCAGTGAGCTATACTGATGATGCGAGTGAAGCTGTCGGTAGTAATGACACGTCCATGAAGGGTCGGACGGCCGTATGTGATGTTTGAGTAGTGTTTATGTTTTAATAAACATGTGAGTACATAGTGTGCCTGCTAATGACTAATGTTTAGTTTCTGAAGTGTAACAATAACTGGATCATTAGTCACAGTGTGACGATCTTACTATTGTATTCAACACACACCCAGCGGCCAGCGACCAGCGGGCTGGACATGTTACACAACAAACATTATAGATATGTTAGGTTTAGTTCATGGAGAGAGATTGTACTAGAATTACTTGAATAGAAATAATCATTATTAAATGTAGCTTATATATGTATAAATGTACTATACGTCTGTCTCCCTGTCACTCATCACCTGTCACATGTCATATGTCGTTCCAGGTCTAGTTTTCTCATGTGTGTGTGTGTGTGTGTGTCCTCACCTGCCTGACGGCGTACAGCATCCCTGCTGGTCGGTGCGAAGCGTTCTTTATACGTGTGTGTGTGTATGTATGTGTGTGTGTGCGTGCGTGTCGTCAGGTGCGGGCGGCTCACAGCTGGACGGTCAGCGGTCAGCGGTCAGCGGCCGGGAGCACTGGGAACGATCATCATCACGTCAACTCCTCGATACCCATACAGTACTCAACTCGTGTGGTGCGGGGTGTATATGAGCGGATCGTATATATGTATTTGTGTGTGTGTGTATGTCTGTGTGTGTCAGGCTGTACATATCTCCGTCCAATGGAGCCGGCAGCCTCTCTCGTCAGTCGTCCGCTGTAAAGCGACCTCCCGCCCTCTGTACAGCGGACACGCCTACCCGCTCAACAGAGACGCCCTCCCTCCCTCACTCAACATACTAAATACGTATTATAACGACTCCACAGAACATTATATTGATTCACATCATATATATTTTACTAACATACAACACATAGTGTATATATTAACGTCCTGGCATTTATATGAACAAAAAATGTAATTTATATATGAATTTTATAATATTAAACGCATTTAAACCAGTTCATGAATCGTTTTAATATTTAATTGAATCTTTAGTGGTTTTTTTAACATTTTAAACGCTAATTTTATTTTCATTCTTTTAATATTTCTTCATCATTATCTCTGCGGTAACTTTAGCAAGGAATATTACGCATTTTCATTAAAACTAACTGACTGACAGACATTTATATTAATTAGTATTTTGTAATTTTGGTTAATTTTTATTTTATTATTGAATATAATTTTGAATTTTTATGTTTGTGTATACATTGATATCAATTCGATGAATATTAAAGAGTCATTTATTTCCGTGTTTATTTATTTTAAATGTTAATAATGAATATAATTTTACACTATGATATCATGAACTGATAGAAGACATTGACAAAAAAAAAACAGAATTACGAAAACAAATTTTTCGTAATACGATAAATTTAATTGAACATTATTTATATTTATGTATATGTTAATAATTATAGTACATTATATTTATATTCACACTGTATCTTCCTCGTGTGCATCATGTAAGTATAAATGTTTTTTATCATCATATTAATTACTGTATTTTTTGTATCACGTCGTTAGCATCTCTGTAGCTCGCGGTGCTAGTATATTTTAATTTCGTTCTATTTCATTCCGTAGTACATAACGTCTGTGTGTGTGTGTGTGTGTGTGTGTGTGTGTGTGTGTGTGTGCGCGTCGCTGTAGAGCGGTCGGCCGTGTCGCTGTAGAGCGGAGGCCGGTCGTCGCTCCTCCATTGGCCGGCCGCTGATGAGCGCCGCCATTGGAGGAGCGACGCGGGACCTGCTCATCAGTTACACTCCTACACCACCCGCTCATACACACCCCCGCACCTCTACACTACTTACTGATGAACGACGACCACGACCCGAGATATATATGAGAGATACAGACGGTCACCACCGGCCCTCGCACCGACCAGACATACACTGAACAGCGACGAGCTGGTCACTCATGAGACACCGAGCACGGAGCACGGACACCGGCCGACATACGGACCGGCCCGGTGCATCCACACCGACCGCGCGACCGACACACCGACTGGATGTACTACCTACTGATGTAACAATAAATATATATATACATAAATATATATAAATAAATATATATTATAATGTCCGCCCGTCTATATACAGCGGCCGCGGTATCGGCTAAACAAAACACAACAGTCTGGCACGCGGCGGGAACAACAATGCTAGGTCGAAATAAGCAAGAAATATTTAACTACCGAAGTGGGGAGGGGAGGGGGCGAGCACGGGGGTTGGGGGGCGAGGGGTCGCGGGGGGGAGGGCGCCTCGGAGCGGGCGGCGGGGGGGGGCGACGGCCTCGGCAGCGAGCGAGCCGGCGGTGTGGCTGTGGTAGTTATAGTTTACGAGATACAGAGATCAAATACAAATAATATAAACACACGGCGAGCATGCGCCGTGGACGAGAGGCGCGGGCACGACAGAGACGGACGACGGTCAGGAGGAACAGACATACAGACACACAGACAGACAGACAGGGGAGGGGGGGAGGTGATGATGATGATGATGATGGTGATGGCGGTGATCGGGTCACCATGTACCCTCGACATGTCAATTTCCATACGAGAGTGTTCCCGTGCGGGACGCATGCGCGCCGCGGCCCACCCTATTGACGATGCAAAATATTTATTTTTTGGCGCAACACCGACCCGAATGCTCACAGGATGCCATGTTGAAGCACACAGACCACACGGACACAGAAATATTAAAATATTAATATATATAATGATACGTCTCTATAGAGAGTGTAATAAAAGCACTGACCTACTCTTAATAGTATTTCCTACAACTTATTATCCGATCACTCCAGGTTCATAATATATACGTGTATTAGTTCTCATATAACTACATATATTTTATTCCTATAGTAATAGTTATATATTTTTTTCTCATTGTTTATTTCAATCAGTAAGTGCATACGACGCATGCGCCCGGCGCCGCACGCCGCCACACTCACACCGAATGACTTACATATTAAACATGCATATTAATATATTATAATAATTTAATTATATTATTATTATATATCAAATGTCAGCTAATATTTTTGTCTATTTTCGTATATTTCCTTAACAAAAGGAAAAATAAATAAATATATTAATAAAATAATATTTATTTATATTGCAATTAATATTTAATAATGATGCACAAACTACGTGTTTTATATGTATATAGTGTGTGTGTGTGTGTCGGTGTGAGTGTCGGCCGAGCTCTAGGCCATTGACATTTTTATTGGTCGATGATTTAAAGTGTATCGATTCCTCCGACATCATAACATCCATCTTCAGGAGCTGCTCCACACGCCCCGCGACTAATATTAACACGATACAATACACAGTAATAAATAAATATTAATTAATAAACATATTATTATATATTAATTAGTGTATCATTATTTATTTATTTATAGAAATATTATTTGGTTGTCGGAGGTATTTAATGTAGTTTCCACCAAATTATATACGTCATATTTGATGAAATTAGTTGATAAAACGAAACATCGTGAGATGATAGAGGCGGGAGGAGGATTCTTTACAGATTATTCCTCGCTGTATAATTAATATTGAATGTTTGTAAAACAATTTACAGTATGAAACACACAAATATAATATCCTAATGTATTTATTACGTATAGTATTTATCCATTTATTCATTTATCCATCAATCTATATAAGCTAGTAGTTGTTGAGTGTCTCACTCCACCTCTCATGAGAGCCGTCCCTCCCTACTCATCAGTGACCACACACCTCTCACACTCCATATAATATATAATTCTATGAGTTTTTTGTCTCTTTCACTCACATATTATGTTAATGTACATTATATATATATTAAATATTAAAAACGTCAAACAACTGTCCGTAATGAAAAAGATCTCTTGACGCTTCTCATAATAAATGTATTAGTAATATTTTTATTAAATAATATCTTATATGTGTTATATATATGAATATTTAATATATAATAATATTATTTTATTCAATATTAAGATGACATATATATTTTTTATATTATAATGTATACGAGACATTAACGCTTCAACTTGAATAATTATTTAAATGCCAAATGTGCAATATAATTCATGTGTTATGTTGCTGTGTTCTTCATGTTATTTCATTTTATACATACTAGTTGATACACGCGACCTCGCTCGTTTATTTTGATACATTAAAAACACATGATAAATTATCAAATTTCACTTTTTTTATACCGTTTTTTTTAATATCAATTCAAGCCTGTCTAATGAGATCTAAGATTTTCGCGAGTACTCATTTAAATGAAACTAATATTTTCGGATTTTACTTCGCGTATTTGTATTTCGCATAGTTGTCTCGTCAAGAAATCTTTAAGTATCAAGTCTAACTCAATAATAAATATAAAATATAATGATTATGTTAACATCTATATTATTTGAACATTAGTCAATGTTTTGTTCTACATATTTAACATCTCCCATGTAAACCGTCTGTTAGGACGAGTATGTTTCATATCCCAGGGTGTTAAAGATCATGATCCTGCGTTCCTATGTGTAGGTGATAGGGAGACAGCACCAGGTACAAGTATCAAGTAAGTCCAGTTTGTTGGAGGTATCCTCAAAGTTGAATCTACAGTAAGGTGGTAGAGTCTATCTGTGGTCAGTTACTATAGCACAGGCTGGCTCGACCGGGGAAGTATCACCCTCTTACAGAAGATCGGCGTGAAGCAGCCTTAATGAGTGAGAGAATCGGTTGCCTTTTCCCTTTTCCCAACCTTTCCTGCATATTCCTTTTTCCTACCCGTTTCTCTCCTTTTCCTAAAATCACGGCCGGCAACGCTTCCACAACACCCCTTATGTTGCAGATATCCATGGGCGACGGTGACTACTTTCCAATTTACATCAGGTAGACCGTCATTTGCCGCTATTGAAATAAAATAAATAAAAAAGACGCCTTGTATAATCAATAATATGTGACCCATCTCTAGTGTAGTTATATATTTATTGATCATGACCACAGTGCCGTCTAAAGGTTCCTGGATCCTCTCCATCATCATCTCAATGTAAGTAGTTCAACCAAGCGTCTCCACATTAAAACAGTTTTACGATCCGTTTCCTTAACGACCTCGTCTCAGCAGTTTTTTTCTGACAAACATCTTTATGACTCGTGATGTTTTTAATCACGTCGTACTTACAGTTACATCGATCTTACGAGACTTGTGACGTCACTTGACATATATTTATATATTATTCTATATATTGTATGTCTGTCTGTATGAATACGATGAGTTCCTTCTTGTAAGTCCTCCAGCACTGCCCTTATTTGTTTATAAGATTTTTCTTAACGTATATTTTAAAGTAAATACAACTCTATATGTTCAATAATAAGATTCATAATAGCTCATGTATCTGTGTCCAAGTATAATGACATCCCCCGACGTTAATCGCCTGTTACTTGTAAGTATACAGTCTGTTGGTACAGACGCTGCCTTCGATATATCTTATGTATATTTTTTTATATTTCATATTAAGATGCAATTTAATAATGTAGACGGAACGATCTTCAGTAATATAAAATATTATTTGTATAAAGTTTGTTTATACGTGATTTTATCGGAAACTAGTGGGAACATTTGTAAAATTAATTCAGTCTCAAAGAACATTAATATAAAACTTGTCGAATAGACCGACTGTCGGTGACAACTCAGAGAGAGAAAGAGATACAGATTTTTAAAGTATTCATTAAATATATGTATTGAAATAAAATGCATAATTTTAAAATATAATGACCTTAATGAGCTTCCGAGTATAAACATGTTACAAAAATATAAAATAGACCAAGAGCTGTAAATGTATCGTGGTACATATCAAAGAGATACCTCATCATATAAAACGGATAAATACGAACGAATCCGGACGTCAACACTAGTGAAAGATTTAATGCAATTCTATAATCGTTAATATATGTAGATGTTATGTATGCGAGCTGTACATTAATAAATATTAAATGACTTACCGTTAGTGGTAGCTGCACCATTGGTCTCTGGAAATGAAATTAGAAACTAGTCAGACATACGGAACTACATATATATACATATACATATTATTTATGTCATAAATATATCGTCTGGAGATCCTTGATATGATTATATTTATAAGGATGCAAATATATTAATACTATGTTTTGTTCGCGTCTCCGTCTGCGTGTAATGTATAATAACAAACTACGTTCATAGTAAGTAGTAACTAACTGAAAGCGACATCTATCAGGCGGCCGGGAGCGTTACTTCTAACTATAAGGAATCGAGAACCAATAGTATCGTATACGTTACTCGGAGTTTAAAACTACATCCCTGTAAAGTTTCATTAATACCCGTAAAGTAATTCCCGCGTCAAACCTCATTATATATTATTAATTACATATTATATAGTACATGACCGTCACGTTCCATCACCGCTACTGCTCATGTCCCTCCACTCTCCACTCTCCGCTCTCCGCTCTCCGCTCTCGAGTGGTGGCCGTTGTTAGTAAACATTCAAAAGCCGCTCGAATCGTTTAGTTTCGTTTAATATTTTTCCGTTACGTTTTAGTTACGTTCCGTCTGCTGTTTGTTAAACATTTTGTATTGTTATAACGACACCTCCCCTTGCCCCCCCACCTCTCAACTTGTCATGATCTCAGTAAACCCAGAGTCACATCGTCTTTAGTACATCTCTTATTTCCTTGACATATAAATGACAAACAAGATTCCTCTAAATATTAAAAGTCAATAATATATTAAGTATAATATATTCGGTAGTTCGTAAGGATATACTGTTTTTGTGTGAAGCCTTCTCATTGTTGAAATCGCTTTGTTCATATAATTCTATACAATGTAAGGTTTTATATAATGTTAGGCGATGGGTTTAGTAAAAGGTTCTTTCAGGATCGCTCCTGAAATGAATCTATCAAGTTGTTTTTATACTTTTTATAAATGATTTTTTCAAATATAAAACGTGAAAGAGATATATTTTATTTTATTCAATTACTGTACAACACTCTCTGATCAGTTCGATTTTTGTATATTTATTGATTACGTAACTAACAACTTTTTATAATAAAACTGAAAATATAATATTATACGGAACCATAACATTAACAGGTTAACCGGAGACCCCTAGGAGTCTCAGGGCTGGATACATCTAATTTTTTACTATCTTCTATACATATAAAAATGGATTGCTGTTCCTTAGTCTCGCTAAAACTCGAGAACGGCTGAACCGATTTGGCTAATTTTAGTCTTGAAATACTCCTGGAAGTCCAGGGAAGGTTTAAAAGGTGAGAAAAATTGGAAGAATTGCCGGGAAAACCCTAAAAACAGCCCTTTTCTATTTCCCATACAAACGTTTTTTTTGACATTAGATTTGACAACTAACTAATATGTCAATCATTCTGTTTGATTGAAACAGGAAAACCTGATTATTTATGGCCTCTAAGACGGAGTAGAGTCAGTCAGCTATACCTACATATATTACTCTTGACCAAACTAACGCGGACGAAGTCGCGGGCAAAAACTAGTATAATATATTTTAATAAAGTGATAAACGATTGAAAAAATTTTTCCTCCAAAAATTTTACTAATACATAAAAAACAGTATTATATGGAGAAACAAAAGAATAATCATTTTTATATTCTATATATTAACATAAGACGATTTAAAATTTAAATTATAACATTATAAAGATGATACAATAAAAATATTTGAGACGCTGTATTGTTGACACTCGTCCACAGATGGCGCTGTTATTAAACATGCGTTTACATACAACGCTGATTTTAATATGGCTTTATGTATATTATTTAATAGGACTGTAATGAGGTAATTAGTATATAATATAATAGTATATAATGTACTCGGATCCCGTACATATACTAAACCTTCAGATAATATAATAAAGAACAGAATAAACTCACAATCACTGAACATTGTGGTTGAAGGCTCATGTATAAAGTTTTAAAGTTACTTTTATAAAGGAATTTATTTAAAATTTTATATTACCGTATATCAAAAATAAAAGATTACATGTAGGCTGGTTCAGAATTATCTCTAAATGAAAAAACAACCGTATGTGTACTCAGCCTTAATTTCTATACTCATTACATATACATATACATATATATTTCATCATATTTATCATATTAAATATAACGGCTGAAACGTCAAATGCCTAAAAGGCTATACTTATTTTGATGTAACTTCCATTTCATTACGAATCATCTTTTGTAGTGCCAACTAATATTCTATTCCAATTTTTAATATAACCACTTGATACCCAAATAGTTTAAAATTAGCCATAAAATTAATTTAAATCTTTATGTCTTATCATCGTTAGTGACATTGTAGATTACATAATACATTATATATTTAAAATTATGTAAATAATGTATATGACGTAGAGGCGGGTAGGAGAGGTTGTCATGAGTGAACACGTGTAGCGACTAGCGACTAGCGGGCTCCTCAACACGGCGAGGCGAGGTCGCCCGCTCGGAACACAACACACAGGAAACAAAACCGAAAATATTACAAACACTATAAACTGGTTTAGAGTTTTTTTGGCAAAAATTTTATATATTTTTATAAAAATAAATATGTTCCGTAAGGCGTAACTCCTTCAAAGATACAGTTAAGTTGCTTCCTAACTCATTGAAGCTTGGTTGTTAACACACGAAAATGTACAGCACACATAAATAAAGAAAAAAAAACAAGTAATCTCGACGTATTGTTAAATTAAATGTATGTAAAAAATATATTTGTATATTCTAATTATAAAATGCTAATGATATAACGATGATAATGATCTGAGTTATTAAAACATCACGAGTTCGGTTGAGGAGTTAAAATAAACCGATACAGTTAATATATACATAAAACGTGAATCATCACTCACGGGTTACTTAAACTGATGGCTTATATTGAACTGTTACCTTTAACTATACTCGGATGATGGATATTAGTTGATCCGTGTGTAAGGATGTCAAGTGACGTTGAGGGATGTTAGTAGTGTAGTGTAATATATATACATATGTACCGCTTCATCTATGTGTACGTCATCTTCGTCTCGCTGAAGACACATCCAGGAGTCCCAGGTGTTGCAGGTGTGGTCCAGGTGCGGTCCAGGTGCGAGGCGAGGAGCGCCGCCGCTGCGGTCCGTGCCGGTCGGGCGACTGCCGCGGTATGGCTCCTTATGTTTTGAATACAATCTGTAACAGTACAGAAAAACAATAATAAACTCGTCAGCGGCGGCGTTGACTACGATAACTTGGGGACATGTTGCGGGCCGCGGCGTCGCTCGCGCCACACACGCGCCCTCCGTCCGCGCGGACGACCCACTGTCTCCAACAGATGTTGGCTGGCTTGACGTTTGTTTAGCCACAGTCCTTATCACAGTTCAGGAGACACTTCCCTCGGTAAAGCTCTCTATAATCCCGATGGAACCTACTCTCTCTCTACCAGATACTCCTCCTAGCCGGCCCGTGTGTGTGTGTGTGTGTGTGTGTGTGTGTGATTGTTATGTTAGACAGTCGAGTGTGAGTCCTACGAGCCGCATGAGTGTCGATGAGGTCATATTAAAACATTTTTGTTTGGGCCGTCACCCGATCCCCTCGGTTTACTTACGGAGCTTGTCGTAGCTCGAGATTTTCTAAACAAAACATTCAACATTCAAACCGATCTGTAAGGCGACACTCCGACACCGTTTGTAAATATATTAACAACAATATCGTTATTTGTGTGTTCGACAGAAATATTATTATATCAAACAACGCTCCTGGATATACACACATGAAACAAATTTATTATATGACATACGAAAATATATAAAACCTAGACTAAGTATATTATACTATGAGTACATATTATATAGTGTGTATTACATCAGATTCGCGGGTTAGTTCGTCTCTTCCTCCTTAATTTTATAAACTATAAAACTATATTTTAAATAATATTATATTATTGAGGGATGTAAGTTGCTAGTCTCAGCAAAATACACCATCATCGATTAACTTATAATATAACTAGTTTTTGCCCGCGACTTCGTCCGCGTTAGTTTGGTCAAGAGTAATATGTGTAGGTATAGCTGACCAGGCAGTGGTGGTCTAGTGGTTAAAGGGCCCGCCTCTTGTTGCCGAGGGCGCGGGTTCGATCCTGGCCCGGGCAAGTACCAATGTGATTTTTCCGAGTCATATGTACTTTCTAAGAGTATTTAGACATCACTGATTAATGTTGATTCCCAAAGAGAGAGTTGATGTCAGGCAGGCGGCCGGCCGTAAAAACAAATAGCCAAAACTATTCACAAACATGTAAAGCAGACCCTGGCTATAGCTGGGAAATTGCCAGGTAGAAGAAGAAGCTGACCAGGCAAACTCTATTTCGTCTTAGACGCCATAAATAATCAGGTTTTTCCTGTTTCAATCAAACAGAATGATTGACATATTAGTTAGTTGTCAAATCTAATGTCAAAAAAAACGTTTGTATGGGAAATAGAAAAGGGCTGTTTTTAGGGTTTTCCCGGCAATTATTCCAATTTTTCTCACCTTTTAAACCTTTCCTGGACTTCCAGGAGTATTTCATGACTAAAATTAGCCAAATCGGTTTAGCCGTTCTCAAGTTTTAGCGAGACTAAGGAACAGCAATCCATTTTTATATATATAGAAGATGAGTTACATTATAGTATGGAGATGTGTAATGTCCCGTAGTTCATCGTCATCAGCGACATTAAATAAACATATCTGTTATATAGAAATTAATATTAGGACACAGTTTGAACCCTCGATTCCTGTCCGGGTCTGTCTGTTGGTGACCCTTTTATTACGAGCGCCCTCTGTGTGAGGCCTCGTGAACTCCTCAGCCCGAGCGTTCGCCTGGAGTGTTCCGCGTACAGCGCCACCTGTGTGACGTCAGCGGAACCTTCCTCCGTCACGCCTGTTGCTCGTACGGGCATTGTATTGTTTACACAACAGCAACACAAAAGACCCTTGTTTGTTTTTAGCTAGACGTTTCCTGGTGTATTTTGTGTTAAGTCTGTCTTGTGTGTGTGCGTGTGTGTCTCTGTGTGTGTGTATGTGTGTGTGCGTGTGTGTGTCCGCAGTCAGTACTCAGTACACAGAGTGTTGTCGTTTACTCAGTGGACGGTCGAGTTAGTAATAAATCCCCTCTGAAGAGAGTCGTTACATTCAGTCATAACTTACTAAATAATGAAACTATGCTTTGACGACTGATTGACGACGCTCTAGAGTCTAGAGTAATAGAACTATCGATTATAATGACATATTAGAATATAGAAATAGTAGAGGGGACCTGACTTATATATTAAAATGACTCATAATACATATGAAGATCCGTCTGAATACACACAGCGAGAGTTTACGAATTTAATAAAAACAAAACTCAGCGTGAATAATCGATTAAATATCGATTGAACCGAAACAAGTGGCGGAGATCGTTAAACACTCAGAGAATTATATGATTACGATGGAGATTATTACATACATACATACATATAAAAACATTTAGACAAACTAATATATAGAATAAACTGGACAAGACATACGACACGTAGCGTTAGAGGGTTGAGGGTCAATGACCGACATCTCAAATAATAGTTAATGTTTTATATATTAAATATTAATTACAATAATGTGAGAGTAACGCTGACACCTCAATGTATATAACGGTCCTCTATCTACAAACATATAAAGTATGTGTGTTTGTTCTTGTAATGTTTCTTTTTATTTTACTTAACGGATATCCTGTTTGTGTGAGCGCGGCCTCATTCGACGAACAAAAGGACCGCGAAACTATTCTATGGACGCGATGGCTCAGCGGCGACGACGTCGGCACTGAGACGCGGGTTCGAATCCGCTGAATACATATTATATACGATTGTAATATAAACTGAATGGAAGTCACAGATAATAGGTATTGATAAACACGATCGATGCTCTATCAGGACGTGATGCAAACAAACGTTATCTCTGACCTCCAAAAACTATACGTTACTTACGACGACACGAAAAAAACAATATATATGAAGCTGTTTATATAAAGTGTGTTATCAGATGTTTGTGTGCGAATTATTATATACAACAAACACAGGGCTCGATAACGATAGAGTTCTGTTATAATACATGTAGTTAGTAGAAGTTTTCATTCACCATGTGCCCGTAGAATAAGTCAAACCGCCACACTATCATTTAAGACAGATCTCTTCATTGTGTTATATGTATTTTATTAGTACTCCTGTTGTATGAGCGTCACAGCTCTCAATATGATCACCGCCTTGCCTTATTTGTTCATGTAAATTTCGGTTCTTAAAATTGAACACATGTAGTTCAAACGAAAAAATATCTTAACAAATAATATTAACCAATAGTAAACACGGTGTGTGTGTGTGTGTGTGTGTGTGTGTGTGTGTGTGTGTTCAGAAAGCCGAGCGCCATTTTCCCATCGCTCATTGTTTTTGAGTATTAACAAACAATGTTTTGTAAGTAACATACAGTCGCTGTTTCTGTTAACACACGGATTGACATACATATTTACTATATATTATAATATACATACATATGTCGACCTATATTATATACGTAACAGCATCAATTATCAGATTTCTTGGTAGTAAAGATATTTCTGCTGGTTTTCATGAGTGACGTCACACAATACATCTTATACAGGGTGACTGGTGAATTACTATCGATACTTGAGGACGTGATATTAAACGATTATATATGACAAAATAAAAATTAATATAACATAAATATTAATAAACTTCTAAGTAAAGTTAACCAAAAGTCATGTAATTAATTACGCATCGTATGAACACCCTACAGATTAGGTATACACACACACGCACACACACGCGTGCGGCGGCGTTAGTTTCAAACTATACAAAGTAAACGCGTCATTGTGTTTTAAAGTTGTCTTTTTATCCACGTCCTGAAATCTAAACTATGTGCCGAATAATTTGAAGAGGGATGCACACAAACCAAGTTCACCTGTATTAAACTATACCCATATTTGAACCTGCAGATTTTAACTACACTAACTGCTGTAGTTATGTTTATAGTTTAAGCAGGGACTATTCGTGAGTTATGATGAACGCTTTTAATATATAGATTATAGAACATTACTTGTATAATATAAATGAAGGTTTTCTCAGCTCACACTAGTTAATAACGTTTATCGTACAACTGTTGATACCTCGCCTGGTGCCGATCGAAATTAAGGATCCCTAACACTTTTTAAAATATAATGTCAACTATTTTAGTGGGGTGTAACTTTTTTAACATGGTTAAATGATTATTAAGATAGATGAAGTTGCTTTTGATTTAGTATATCATAAAGACACTTAAAATTAAATCTTTTCTATTAATAATTATTTTTTCAAATCTTACTCAGGATAAAATCTGTTATATTATCACACTTTTATGTGCATATGTCCGAAGTCCACACGAACAAAGTCGCAAGCAAAAACTAGTATACTTAAATTGCATTATATTATGTTATGGTGTATGTTCTAAAATAATACATTTCTGTTATAAAAATAGTTTCGTCCAATAAAATGTTCTAAAATACTTCCTCAAAACAAACACTAACTGTGTGTGTGTGTGTGTGTGTGTGTGTGTGTTCTGTTCGCTGACAGCTCCGTCACCAATTGTTTTTTTCGTTACGTATAGATTTACATTTTATTTATTTTATAACATGTGTAACATACGTCGAGCATCTAATATATTGAATATAGATACAAGTCATACATGTACCACGATTATGAATATAAAAAACCTTGAAATTTAACTTAATAATTATAAGGAATTTGTCAATCAGATTCGAATATTCTTTACTTTGAATATAACATTTTAATTTGTTCTACATTTTCCTCAACGTGTTGTAATGATAATGAAACATTTAGCAGAGCTGTAGCTCAGTTGTTAGAGGGGCGGTAAAGTACAAAGTAAGGATCAAAGTTCGTTTAAGACTTGTATCATCATCATATAAACATAATGAATGGAATCCGTTTTACTGAAAACTATGTATAGTATGAAATACAAATAGTAATGTTATTGCTACCATAAAATAGAGTAAATAAAGTTATCAAAAGAAATATTTGCTTTTATTGTTTAGATTATATGAGAGTTGAACCATTGGCGTTTGTGGTTTATAGAAAACAGATTACAATATTATAATGATTGTATAAGAACAGGTAGGAGGAGGCTACGGGGAGAACGGAGGAGCGGGAGGGAGGAGATATACGGAGGATCGTAGTACGAAGATTTTAATAACCTTTTGGGAAAATTTTAATACGAGTATAAAACAAACAAGATAATTATTAAAATTCTATTGTTTCTATTAATTAGAATAATGTTTTAATATTCGTCTGTCTATCTCACAGCTCACTTCAATTATTGAAGTAAACCTAATGTATCCCTACTAATATTATAATTGCGAAAGTTACTCTATCTGTCTGTCTGTTACGCTTTCACGCCTAAACCACTGAACCGATTTTAATGAAATTTAGTACAGAGTTGGACTAGACCTTGAGAAAGAACACTGGATAGTTTTTATCCCAGACTTTCGAAAGGTTCTCTTGGAAACGCGATATAACCGAACTCCGAAACGAACGAAAGCTATATGTACTCGTATATGTATAAACTGGACACAATCTTGTCCCATATCTTGTACTTCGTATATTTTTAATTGTCAAGCCGGAATAGTCTAACTGATAAGTTGTTTAAAAAAAAATCTGCCAAAAATATGTAAATGTTTATAATAAATAATAAAGTCAAGGTGTCTCCGATAGTCTGATCCATGTAGGTCGGAAGTATGATACCAGTTATATGGAACACGAGGACGGCCGCGCGCTGCTGGGCCGGCGAGGCGGGTGACGACTCACGCTACGTCAAATAATATAATCATTTACATATATATACATACTAGTTATTCCCCGCGAATTCATCCAAGTTAATTTACGAATTAGTAAAATATGGAACTAGATATCGGAGTTTATTAAGTTTATTTTCTGTTTCTATCGAATAAAATTAAATATCCTATGTCCGTCTCATTGTTCTAAGCTATTTCCTCACCAATTTTCAATCATATCTCTACAGCCGTTCTTGAGTTATAAATAGTGTAACTTAACAGAATTGTCTTTTATATATTATGTACAAAAATTCTTATATATTAATAATATTATAACATCAAGATAATATAGTTAGTCGCCATATGTCCATACGTTACTTGATCCACTTTCTATATATCTTGGTGTATTATTAAATGACACGTACATTATGTTCAACTCTGTGTACTGTTTTGTTTCTTGTATTTTTTTTGCGAACCTTTCGATAACGCTATCGTCGGCACGCACACACACACACACACACACATACACACACATGAATAAAATCGTTATCAAGTGTCAAAAACTAGTAAAAATATATGTACGTGTGACCCAATGTGTAAATTAGTACAACTTTATTATTAAATAACTTGATCATGACGGTGTTAAAAATATATATCTAATTAATTATTTATAACTAATAGACTGAAACATTACCTCTGGTTAAGAAAACTACTAAAAATATATAAAAAGTGGAATATATTATAAAATAAATACATGTAGATGATGAGTTCGAGTTCTTAGTATTTATTTAGTGAACCCTAAAGGAAGTTTGTTCCTCATATCTACGACAAACAGAGTTAAAAGCTAGACTCGCAAACAAACAACAAACACGACACATTATATACATTACATAGTTACAGATGACTTTGACTTAATATATATACTTGTATGTTTTATTTTAACATCTCATCACGGCTTCATCATCAGCCTATCATCTTCATCACTACCTCGTATCCTGGAGCCCGGGTCAATCATCCATACATATATTAACATTCAGACAATTCATATTTTTATCTGAATACCTTCCACCCTCTCATTCATCCCTCTGT